GTTCTTCACAGAGAGAACGGTGAGGTGCTGGAACAGGCTGCCCAGAGAGGTTGTGGATGCCCTGTCCCTGGAGGTGTTCAAGGCCAGCTTGGATGGGGCCCTGGGCAGCCTGGTCTAGTATTAAATGGGGATGTTGGTGGCCCTGTCTGTGGCAGGGGGATTGGAGATTCAGGATCCTTGAGGTCCCTTCCAATCTGAGCCATTCTGTGATTCTCTGAAAGCAGAGCACAGGGAGGGCTGTGCTGTGCAGTGCTGACTCAAGCGATGTCAAATAATTGCATGCACCTTGACCCAGGTGCAAGACCTTGCACTTAGCTTTGTTGACCTTCATGAGAGTCTCCTGATCCCACTCCTCCAAGCTGTCTTGGTCTCTCTGTATGGCATCCTGTTCTTTGGGCATGTCAACCGTAACCCACAGCTTGGAGCTGCAAGACTGGGGAAAAAAAAAAAAAGGAAAAAAAAAAGTCAATTTACACTTGCAAGATCATTTTCAGTCGATATAAATACATTCCAACTCTAAGGATTCTATGACTCCATAACCTGCAACCCTTCAAATGTGAGTTGTAATCAGATATTCAACTCTAAAATCTGATCATGTCTTCTTTCATGACTTTCATAATCCCTATATTAGCAGAGAAGAATATCCCTCACTTCACAATCACACCGTATTCATGTCATCACTTTTTGGCAGTACACACCCCTTGAACATTTACTGTTGAGGATGAAGCGCAGGAAGAGCAAAATTTCATCAAAAATCTCTGATGAATACATTGAGACCTCACTAAGGGGTTGAACAAAGATTGTTATTCCCAGAAACAGAAGTGATTTTTAAAGTCTCAGGCCACTGTAGTAAGATTACTGCTGTGAAGTAAGCGCTTTCTGTAAGGAAAGGCGTGACCTAACCAAAGCTTTCAAAAGTTCCAGTGGAATAAATTCTCAGCCCTGCAAGCAGAAATCTGAACAGCCTGTGTTTAGGCTGTGCATTAATACGACAACAATAAGACAGCAGACATAAACTCTTTCAAGACCTCCTGTGTGTACGCAACTGGCCTGGACTGCTGTGAGCACTTCAATCCCACCTTGGCTGTGGAACAGGACAGGCAAACACCTGGACATCACCCAGCCCTACCCCAAAGACAGCACAACTGCCTGTGCTCCATGGTGGCAGGGACAAGGAGGTCTCTAACCTTCGAATACGGGAAAGACGTAGAGGAGAAGGAACGGCTCTCATCGCCACTCCCCCAATGCTGAGCTGATCAGAGAAGGAGCTCTGGATCCATGCCAAATTCCATGTTTAAAAGTCAGCAACAACATGGCATGGGGAGCAGGAGGCAGAGGAGAAGGACAGAAACAGTGCTGGGTCAAAACAGGAAGACTGAGGAGGA